GCGCCACCATGCCCAGCTAATTTTTTGTATTTTTAGTAGAGACGGGGTTTCACCATGTTGACCAGGGTGGTCTCGATGTGTTGACCTCGTGATCCACCCGCCTCGGCCTCCCAAAGTGCTGGGATTACAGGCGTGAGCCACTGCGCCCGGCCTATAGGGAACTATTAAGAGAACTTTACAGTGATGGAGATATGGTTAATTAAACCACAGGAAATGGTGATACACCTAGAGACTAGCAACAAAGGAAAGTCATTTCCATCCCTAACCTGGTGAAGGGAGAGGAGGGAACTATACAACAGGAGCCTTCAGAAAATGTTGAACTATGAAAAAGGAGGCTTCCTCTAGCAGCTGTAAATGTTGAGCGCATCCACTGAAAGCTGTAGCAGCAAAGGAAGAAGGAGAGGAAATAGATATTCCAATCTCAATCGCCACCTGCCTTCCAATTTCTGCCAGTGTCTCCCATTGGCCAAATGCAAGGAAGGAAGTCCGAATGATGTCTATAGGGGTCAGCACTCTAGAGCACAGAGTAGGAAAAGACCAGAGGGTGTGTCAGAGAGGAAAAAGGAGTGTAACTAGCGAAAGGATCACTTTACATGTGAAGGAAAAATAAAATGAGTAAAATAAGCTTCCTTCTCTTTCCTCCATTGGACTTTGTTAACTACCAATGTCTGTATACTCAGAGACTATAAGTGAGTAGTACCTTCATGCTGGGAAAATCTGGAGCTAATATATTATTTATTTCAAATAGACAAAAGACAAGCTTTTGATAGTTATAACTCCTGGTAAGTGACATTTATACTTTAGACATTCTACCTGTAATCAGGGGAATCCTATTATGCAAGTTCTATGATATTTCTATATTAAAATCCAGATGGGAGTAATGCTTTTCTTTGATGGCTGGTCTGCCTTAGTCAATGATATGAAAGATAGACATTGTCAAATGATACATTATTTTATCTGCTCCTGACAAGTGTGATACTCTATTTCAATGTGTGTTATGACTACTTTTCCTAGAAACAAAGAAAAATTATTAAGCCATTAAAAATCCTTTTGAATATTCATAACAATATGCCTGTGCATGATTCTTTAGAAGAGGAAGTCACTATCAGATAAATAAGTTAAAAATGTATCATTTTTCTTCCTTTAGCCTTATTCAGTCAGTTTTGAGACAACTACTTATAGTTTATCTTCATTATTGCTAAATTATTTTTGCTTTGGACTTTCTACCAGCAAAAGTATGTAGACTATGGGGAGCCATCCATATCAAAATTAGCACTTGAACAAATAAAGTACTTTACTTGTTATATATTAATCATGGATTAATGGGGAATGGAAATACAATTGACTCAGTAAGTGCTCGAATTTTTCTTAATCAGAAATGTGCCGGAGGAACACTTTTTAAAAGAGAAAGATAGATTAACAAACTTCCTAGATACAATGCAAGAAGAATATGCATAAAGAGTTTGTTATAATTTTATGGGTTTACAATATGACAACTTGGCCAAGAGATGTTACAGACATAAATTTCCAGGCTCCCATTAGAGGCATCTGCAATCAACCCCAAACTCTCTATCTGATAAGAAAAGTTTAATAAACCATACATATGGAAAATTTAATTAAATACTCAATCTAGATGCAATTAGGAATACATATGTATGGACAAAGACAACAAGGTACAGAAAATCTGGTGGTACTAACTTACCAATTAAAATATAGGAGTATGAATTATTTTGTCTTTACATATTTATTTAGCATTTAGAGTTTGAAAATTTATTCTTTGAAAAACTGTTGGTAGATTTCCCCAAAGATTGTAACTAATATGCAAATAAATTTTGAGTATCTTTTCTTTTCTTTTTTTTTTTTTTTTAATATGGAGTCTCACTTTGTCACCAGGCTGGAGTGCCATGGCACGATCTTGGCTCACTGCAATCTCCATCTCCCGGGTTCAAGCAATTCTCCCACCTCAGCCTCCCAAGTAGCTGGGACTGCAGGTGTGCACCACCATGCCCAGATAGTTTTTGTATTTTTAGTAGAGATGGAGTTACACCATGCTGACCAGGATGATCTCGATCTCTTGACCTTGTGATCCGCTCACCTCAGCCTCACAAAGTGCTGGGATTACAGGTGTGTGCCACTGCTCCTGGCTGACTGTCTTCCTATATTTCACTATTATTTACTTGATTTTGACCCCCTTGACCACAGTAATAAGCTCCCAGCATATGTCATGAATTCTGGATCACAGAGAACACTTGAAAATTTTGGAATGAATACATACATGCTTTGAATACAAGAGGTTTTCAAAGTTGATAGAAGTTACAAATGTATGACATACGAAGTTTGTTGTTTGTTTTCAGAGACAAGGTCTTGCTCTGTTGCCCAGAGTGGAGTGGAGGGGTGCAATTATGGCTTATTGCAGCCTAGAATGCCAAGACTCAAGTGATCCTCCTGCTTCAGCCTCCTGAGTAGCTGGGACTATAGATGTTCACCACTATACCCAGCTAAGTTTATTATTTTTATGTTTGTAAAGTTGAGGTCCCACTATGCCGCCTTCACTGATCTACAACTCCTGGGCTCAAGCAATCCTCCTGCTTCTGCCTCCCAAAATGCTGAGATTACAGGCATGACCCACCATGTCTGGCCTGTACCAAGTTTTAATTCAAAACAATAGGTGGGAATATACATCATATTTGCTTTTTTTTTTTAAAGGAGAGAACTTACTAGTGTGAAAGGCATTGATAATTCAAAAGCATCTTTTTATAGTACAGGTTTCCCTTGGAAAAATGAAATTTCAGTAGAATTTATGCTGTATTTGTCAGTTAGAAATGAGTTATCCAAATAACAACAACAATAAAAATAAAAACTTGGATTATCACAGTTTAAATGAATAGAATTATTTACTTATATCGATAATGTAAAAGATCAAGACATATTCTTTTTCTCCTTCTTTAGGCTTGCAAAGGTGTTTGCAAGAGACCTGTGATGATGATGCCCATCTTATACATATTTAAGATAGAGGTATGGGAGAAAAGAGCAGTACCAACATAATGAGCATAAATACTTATTCTTTTTGTAATGATTTTATTTGTTTATTCAAAATTCTCAGAAGCCTCTGCATCAAATTTTACTTAGTTTGCATATGTTATAATTGAACAATTAGGCTTTTTAGGTATATTTTAATTGAAGAGAATCTTAAAATGCTGTAAAGATTGGAATGATGAATAAAAGCAAAAGTGATTATCTCTGGCTTCTGGGTTTTCATAGCAGACACAGTCAACTGTCTGCTCACCATCTTTCCCTGCCCTCTAGTTTATTCCTAACAAAACCTTGGTTTGGTTCATAGGAGTCCAGTGTTTAAGCCAAACCAAAAGAACTTACTGGGGATGATCAAGCCTATGAATTATGTGATAGGATGGAATAAACACTGACATAGATGCTAGGATATCTAGATTCTGGTCCCAACGATTTTAAGAGTTAGCACATCAAAATCAGTCATTTGGAGGGGGGGCTATGAATTCATCTATAAAATTTAAAAGGTTGGAAAAGATAGGGGATTTCAAACTATATTCTTCATATCTGAACTTCTACAGAAATATGTAGTGTTTTCCATGGAAATATGAGTAAGAAGACTCTGAAGAGGAAGGGCAAAAACCTCTACTTACATGAAAGAGGAATTGCTTTGGCTTATTTGTTGAGAGTTCACCAATGTTTCATATGCCAAAATGTAGTATTTTATTTAAAATGTTTTAAAAATCTCTGGGAAAGAGGCTATCTTAGGTCTTCTCCATCTATACTATGCTTAATAGGCTATGTTTATATAAATTAGAAGAGAAATGAAACTATGTATCTCCCACCAAACCCAAAGACTTCTAATTCTAATTGTGTTTGACATGAAAATATCCCAGAAAACCATAGAACTGAATCATATGCCAGTTGGATCTGAATTCTTTCTTATTTTTAAAATCTTATTGTTAGAAATGTCAGCGGATTCTGAGGGAGGACAACTCCAATTCTTGTGGTTGCAACATAAGTTATGATTCATTTCCTTACCTAGGGGAGAGTAGCTAAAGCATCCAAGCAAATGGATTGTATTCCACAGAGGATAGACAAAAGTGGTTAGGATGCCCAAGTTTATATATTTCCACTAAGAGTGAGTAAGATTAGAAGTCATAAAATTAGGACAAGGATTAATAGAAAGAGGACGGTTGAAGTATAGAACAAAGAAAACTTAGATTCAAGGAAAATAAGGTATCTATCTTATGCAGATAAAATTAAGTGGAAATACATGCCTTTAAGCCTTATACATTTTTCAGAGGTGAGATAAATTTAAACTCTCATGATAAAACTGATAAATAAAATGATAAAAAATCTCATGATATTTATACTCTCATGATGAAACTGTAATAGATGACAAAGGTAAGTTAGCATTTTTTGACATTGCTTTAAAAATAAATACAATCATGTGATATGTTGTTCAACTCTGGCCTCTTTCTTCTAATGAAAATTCCTTGGTATTACTAACTCATATGGAACACAGTGGTGAAGAAACAAGACTGACTGAAAGATATATTTTCAAAGTTACTATGATTTTAACATATTTAAATCATAGGTTCTGTGCAGTACTCCATGCTGAGCACAGTTAAGCACACAGAGACATAAGGTACAGTGCCTACCTTTGTAGATGCTAAAAATCAAGTTAGCGAATTAAAATATGGAAATATAAGTGAAAATACATTTAAAGATATTGCCATACCACCTGTTGAAATTACTCAGTAAAGCTTAGCTCTTAATTCAGTGAATTCTCATCCTTATTACACGGTGTGATTATTACTCCTGTTTTGTAAATGGAACTGCTTTAGTTCAGGAAGTAAGTTTCCCAAGACTTCACAGCAAGTAAGTAGCATGTCAGTGGGGAGGGAAGAGCTCTTTCTCTTCATTATTGAGAGGCTCATGCTCTGAACCATTGCACTAACATACATTTTAGATGACAAGTTATTTCATACCTTTCTGTTTCCTCAGGCCACATCTCCAGCAGATGACACTGTCTCCTCCTAACAAAGGAAATTAAAAGCTTGGATTAAAACTCTGGGGCGGGCATTTTTTCTTCCTGAAGACAATCATGAAGAAAATACAGTTGAGTACAGACAGAAATAGAAGTCCTTCCAAATAATTCTCTTACCACTGTCTTGAGGCCAGTGATTTTGACTTTCCAGGCATCTTTTTACATCATTAGCCACTGTCCTCTCTCTCAATCTCTCTCTCCCTGCCTACCCCCAATGCCCTTACTTCTCCCTCTGTTATGACTAATTTTCCTCATCATTAAAATGTGAACTCTTGCTCTATCTAAGAAAACGCAATTTTTCCAACCTGGTCATCAATTTTTCCATGACCACACTTAGTAAAGAAACACTAGCCTTTTAAACTTAGTAATAAAAACTTTTTATGATCCATGCAGTCAGAAACAACTCCTCTCTTCTCTCACGTCAATGGCACATTGAACTGTGCCAATATAATGCGTATAAATACTTATTCTTTGTGTAATAATTTTTTTTTATTTATTCAAAATTATTTATGGAGCATCTACTAGGTTTCATGCAATGCTAAGGTTATAATGGTGAAACAAAGAGACCGAGAGTACAGCCACCTAAGTTTCATGAGCCAGTGGGCTGGAGGTATTTCCATTGTCAGAAGTTCTCTGAGCAACAAATGCATATGATAACTACTGAGGAAACTAGTCTTAAAGAAATCACAGTTTTGTAGAGATATGGAGGGACAAATACAAATAATTCATTTGATAGACTTTGTACAGGCAAAAACTTCAAGTGCTTTGTCATTTAGTCTCCTATATTAGCTTCTAGTATGGATTTTCACATGATAATAAATATTTGTTGAATTAAGTCAAGGAAATATTACCCTAGTACGCAATCATGTCACCCTGGAAACTATCATTTTGGAGCACTATGTGAAGGGTGGCCCCAAATGAAATTATGCCAGCCAGCCCATGCGGATGAGAGGTTCCACTTGCTATGACAACAGCGCCTGTTTCTAATTAGCATTGGCATTTTCTTTGTAGTTTGTGGGGCTGATGGTGACCCATGCTGTGTTGTAGAAAACCGTTTCATCTTAGCTGACATAACTAAGGTGGGATACAATAATGTAGATGTCACCTCAAATCATCAGCCCGAAACATCTTTTTTTTCTTCAGGAAGATAAATAAGCTGGCATTTAAGTGTCTAAGGCACACAACTAAGCATGCTCTTGTCAGCAAAATGAAATGTTGTCACAAACACCTAGGTTCCTGCTGCTCCTTAAATGCCACAGTCTTGATTTTCACTGATCTCATAGTGAGATTGTTTTCTCTCTTATAAGGCTGTGAATACAGATATAATCACTCAAGTTCTTATATGCCACTGCTTGACACGCATTGCTGAGAAATGACTCAACAGATTGCCTTCAAAGGCAGGAGACTTAGCCATCCAAGGATCTAAATCAAAATATGGGAACCAAATAGTTGTTTTTTTTTTATTTCAATTGCACACTTGTATCAATCGGATGCGGTTGCCTGGAATACACTTCAAAGAAGGATTTTAAGTGTGTGCCAGACTCAGCAAAATCGAGGATATCTAACTCTTCTAGCATTCAATCCCCTAGTTCCTTTTATTTAAAAAATTTACAGCATACTTTTCTAACTTTTCATTTTTTAAATACGTCATTCCAATATCTGAATCTCTGCCTTACTTACTTTCCATACTCAACCTAAAGTCTGAATAATCCTTCAGTCCAACTGCTTCTTACTCTTAAATCCCTTTCCACTTTATCCTGCCATCATTCCTGTTCATTCCAAATCCAAAAACAAACTAAATAAAAAGAAAAAACAAACCCCAATAGATACTGTCATCTCTCTGGCTTACCTTAACTGCACTCACCGATGCATTGCTTTTCTTGAATGAGAGTTGAATTTCCATGACTCACATAAGTTAAAATTATAGTTTAAATAAGTTGTGACAGGAAGCACCTATAAAGTTTCTAAAATGTATGTGGTGCAATTCTATACTCTACCTGAAAGGCAATATATAATAAAAAAAAGTGCTATGTGCTCAGAAACCATGACTAGTCAATGTTCAGATGAGTTTCTTACTTTGTAGTGTTTGGCAATAGTGGTTGAGCCAAAATGATGCAAATTCCATTAATCCTCGCACTCTAAATAGATCAGGAAAACTCTTCCCAAAGTTGGTAGACCATTATGTGAGCTTTCAAAGAGACAAAGCCGAAGTTGCGTTTCCTGCATTGGGAAATTTTCCTAGGCCATTTGGAGCAGAATCCTTAAACTATTCCAATTTAGTTTGCTCAGAGCAAAGGATTCAGTAATATGTATTTTCAATTAGTTATTGCCTTGGGTTTACTACATGGTGTGATTTTTATTCCCAGGGCTTGTCCAGCCCTTTTGTTTTTAGCTGTGTGTGCCTGTGTGAGTGGAAGACAGGGAGAGAGTGTCAGAGAAAGAGAGAAATGAGTGCTGACCCAGGAGAAATTTAATTATATGTTATTGGTAACATCTGTTTAGTTTTAACTCTGCTTTCAGTAAGAGAAGGAGCTATCACAAATTTCCAGTAGTTTTTCCTTAGAATTTGGCTAAGCTAATATCATTGAGCCTATTAGAATTTTTATATGATGCTACACAAAATCCTAGAACTGAAAAGACTCATTTAAAAACAAAATCACCATATTAATGGTCTTTGATAAATCTTTTAGTTTACCACTTTATAGTTTATTTATTCATAGAATTTGATTTTATAATTTTTTTTCTTCAATTTAGAGGTAGATAAACATTTTAACTGGTTGTTTAGTGTTTCAAAGCAGTGTTTTAAAGAGACACATTCTTGCACAGAATCACTCTAACCTGAAATAAAGAGATCAAAGAGTCTGTTTATTTTATTTTTTAAAGTGCGAAGAAGCATTCAGAAAGACAATACCCTTGATGAGGACTTATGCTTACTTAGTCCATGTGTATAAATCTATATATTAAAGATACAGATCATGAAAATAATGAAAATAATGAAAGAGAGTGCTATGAGTGAATCCACATTGGCCTAAGACTACAAAGACATCTTGAAAATGTAAGTCTAGTAAGAACAAAACACATGACAGAAATGTAACCAAATTATGTTATCCAAACAGCTCTATCCATGTCTTCTGGTGATATTTTGATCATAATAAATATCCTTTTAGTTTATGCTAATTAAGTTGAATTGCCAGTTCATTTTGAACTTAGTAGACTGAGGGATGGCTAATAAAGTGTTCCAATCTGAATTTCACTATTTTAAGCTTCATGCTGTTAAGTCATCTATTAGTCAAGCTCAACACATTTTTACTGCAGTTTCATCATTTCATTAAAGAGTTAAGTAAGAGTTAAGTATGTGATTACTTAAACATAACTTGTTGGAAGATTTTCAGTTTAAAGGTTTAACAGAAGTCCAAACAAATGTTAGGGCTGATCCGATGGTTTGGAGAGTTGAATTAGAGTAGAATTGGCGAGTTATATGTAATTCCTACCCAAATTTAGTCCACTTCTATTATTTTAAATATTAGAATTTACATTAATACAGAACCCTTTATCTACACATATTTAAAGTTTCCACAACCTTCATTTTCTCATCCTCCTAGTGATGCTTTTTAAATTTCACAAATGGAGAAACTGGGGGAGCTTAATTGGCTTTCCACTGCAATGAAGGGTGAGTCAGTGACAGAGACGGAAATAGACACCAGGGCTTCATCTCTTCTCATCCTCATACACATCATGAGGAAAAGCTTTCTGCTTATAAATACATTTAGTGACATAATTCCTGAAACTGTTAATTAGGAGAGTTTTTAAAACCCACCTGGTTTTAGAGACATTGAAACTTCCAAAGTTGGATATGTTTTGATGAAAAGTTAAGGAGATTTGTGTCAATTTTTTGAGAATTAGAATTTAAAGGAAACAAAAAACATATAGCAAAATATGTATATAGTTGCCTTCATATATGCCTGTCAGTGTGTTCTATCCTGTTCTAGTACTGAGATAGCTACAAAAGTTGTATTTGCACTTACATGAGTCAACACTACATTAATTTTGTTGGACACATGAACACATCAAAAGCATACACATATAAGCATGGAGGAAAAACTGAGCTAAAGGGAAACTGAGCAAAAGGAAAAAAGAGGATTAGGATTAATTTAGTCTGTCTTAGTGGGATATTTGATGCATACAGATATTCTTTAACTTACAATGGGACTATAACCCAATAAATCCTTTGTAACTTGAAATAAGTTAAAAATGCATTCAATGCACACAACCTACCAAACACGATAGATAGCTTAGCATGGCCTACCTTAAACATGCGCAGAAAATTTACATTAGCCTATAGTTGGGAAAAATCATCTAACACAAGTCCTACTTGGTGAAGTGTTGAATATCTCATGTAATTTATTGAACGTTGTATGGAAACAACAACAACAATAAAACCAGAATGATACTATGGGTACTCAAAGTATCTTCTACTGAATGGGTATCACTTTCGACCATTGTAAAATTGAAAGACTGGATATCAAGACATCATAAGTCAAGGACCATATGTATTTAGGAGTTTCTATCAATGATGCATTTATAAGAATAGTGAGCTCATAGAAACAATCAGGAAACAGTGGCTGCCAAAAATGATGATGATGATAACATTAATCATGTGACTTTTACCTTTATTGATTTGAGGAAAGTAATGTTTTTTGATTTCTACTCGATAGAACATATTTACAAACTGTTTTAGCTTTGGTTGTTTTTTTTTTTTAAGAAAGAAGGTGAGTGGTTATAAGTTAGAAGCCAGAACAGAAAAGGCCTAATGGAAGATACTTAACTGGAAGAAGAGAAGATTCATGAGGATTAATACTTTGTGGGATGTGATGTGGAAACGGCATTGGACTCATCCCATAATGGCACCAAGAAAGATAGCTATTGTGGGTAAGAATCATTTTGGAGGGCTTGTTATAACCCAGATTACTAGGCCCCATCCAAAAAATT